TTTGCATCGATCTTCATTTTGCTCTTCCTCCGCCGCATTAGACTTTACTTGGTCTGTTCTCCCGGACTTACTTTACATGTTCTTTCCCCCAATCTTTCCCTTATTTTTCCCCTTAAAATTTTTCCCCAAACCTCTTGGCCCCCCACGCTGGGAAATTTTAAAATCGGGAAAATTGGGAAACCCTTTACTCACACCGCTTTTTTTTAAAGGGGTTTCCCCTTTTCGCCCCCACCCGATAAAGCTTTTAAAACCTTTTCCATCCTCCTTTTTTTTCACCGCAGTTTCCCCTTCTTTTCCCCCAAACTTCGAGCGGGGCATTCTCAAAAATGCGTGCCTTTTGGGGTCCCCTGCTTGTGGGGGTGCGTCTTTTTGAAACGCGCGCAGGGGGCAGGTACCGGTAAAATAGAACCACAGAGCAATCCTTGTTTTTTAAAACGGGAAGGTGCGATCGCCGCAGTGTCCAACCGTGACGTTTAAACGCATTTGCTGGCGAGATTATTTCCCCCATAAACCTTGTTTCCTCTATGAGTGCAGTCTAAAAAAAATTTAGGGAAAACTAAAGTGTAAATATTCTCCTGCCCCCGGCTCCTGTTCTGGGGGGTTTTTGCCGGTTTTTTGAAATAGAAAAACCCACAGATGTTGCCAATAAAATTGGCCAACCCTCGGGTCCGTTTTTCCGGGGACTCCATCAAACCCCTCATTTCTTTCCCAAAGTCTGCCAAAAGAGTTAGCACCCCTTGGATTTTTCTTCTCTCAGAAAAAGAACATAAAAATGGGCCTTTTAAACTTCAAGAACGGAGGAAACAACCCAGTTTGTGGGATCATCGGCAGCGGGGCCCCGAAAAATTCATTTAAAAAATGCACAACATTTACACCCGTCAGCCCTTGCAGCCCTATTACCCCTTTTTTAAAAACTTTTTTTGGTCAAAAGGGTTCTTCCACCTGTGGAAACCGCCATTGTTCCCCCCCTTTTCCGCAAACCGGGAAATACGGGACATAAAACCCTTTCCCCTATCGTCCCTTTTGCTCTTCCCCAGTGCAGTTTGAAAAAGTAAGGGGAACGTCTAAAAAAATAGACTTTAGTGGGTTTTTAGGACACACAACAGTCTTTTTCCCACTCGAAATATGGTTTTTCGAAAAGGGACGTTCTACCTTTAGACCCCTTACTGCCGCTTGGATACGTATGTTTTTTAATCCCTTTTCCCGAAAAACCCAAAACCTTCCATTAAATTGCCAAAATTTTTTGATCTTGAAAAAGGCATATGACACAACTTGGAGGTAAAAAATTTTCCCCAAGCCCACCCCTTAGGCCTTCGGGGGCAATTCCCCTTTCCTTTCCCTTAAGAACTTTTTAACTGACAGGCATTTCCTTGTTCGGGTTTAATTAAAAATTTTTTTTTCCCCCGGGCTTTATCCAAGCTGAAGGTGTCCCCAGGGAGTGTTTTTGAGCCCCCAAAACTTTTTCTCCTTTTTTATTAATATTTTTGGCCCCCTAGTCTTCCCTCAAATATTTGGTCTCATCTAAAGTTGATGACTTCGCTATTGCCTGTGCAGGCGGCCCCGACTGTCACCTCCTTACAGTTTTTTCCCCCCAGATGCAGCGACCCCTGGGTTTTCCCAAATTTGGGGCCCCCACACAAGGGTTTTTAAATTTTCCCGCACTAAACCCACCAAATTTACTTTCACTAGACGCTTTTGTCATCTTGATTTATCCCTTTTTACCCCTAAAGGCTCACGTATCCCTGAAGTGATACAGTCAAGTTTTTGGGCCTCCTCTTTGATGTATTTTTTAACCCGGAAACCTCACATTACCTCCTTGAAGGCAAAATGTCACGCCCCGGGTGAACCTTCTTAAAACCCCTTTCCATTTTTTCGTGGGGGGCTGATCCCCGAACCCTCCTTCAACCCCACATTTTCCCCCCTTATTTTATCGAAAAATTGATTATTGGGGGACCAGCTATTCAGCGGCATCCCCCTGAATACTCCTCTTCCCTTAAAACCCCCTTCATCACCAAGGGGTTTCGGGTTTTTGCCTTGGTGCTTTTTTCCCCTCTTCCCCATTCCCAAAAACCTCTATGCAGAAGCGAAAGTTTTCCCTCCTTATCCATCGCCCCCGGGTGCCCCCTTGCCTGCGCTACCCCTTTTACGCCTCCCTGATCTCCCCAATCCTTCCATTTCTAGAATGGTCCCCTGATATTAGTAGGGCATTCTTTAATTTTTTTTCGCCCCCCCTGCTTACTTTTCCCTCCCTTCCCTTCCCCCTTCATTTTGGGTCTTGTCTTTTTCTTCAACTACCACCCTTTTTTTTACATGTACATCACACTTTTTTCCCCAACCCCCCCGGGAAGTTCCCGCTTTCGAGTCTGGTTTTTTCCCCCCCTCCCCCTTTCTCGAAAGCCCAACTGTCTCGGTCGCTTCCCGGGTCTCTTTTTTTTTGACCACTTTCCTCTCATTTCATGCCATTGCTGTGTTCAAATGGGTCTAAATCCCTTTTACGCGTAAAGGGTTCGGGAGCCCGTGTTTTCCGGACTGCCTGTACAAGGGCATTTTATCTTTTCAGCCAGTAAATTTTTTTTTTGAATTTTAAAAGCCATCCTTACAGCACTTATCCTTTTATTGCATTTTATGCCTGTGTCATCATTTGTGGTTGTCTCCGCTCCCTTTTGTTGGGTTTTCAGGCTAAAACAAAAATTTGATACCCTCACCCCCTTGTCCCTCCGTATCCAACTTTTTGGGTAAACCCCCATCTTTATAAGCCAAAAAATATTGTTTTTTTTTGGGGCCCTTTTTCATTTTTGAGTACAAAAAGGGAAAAGAAAAGGCAGACACTGCGGCGGCAGCATTTCATGACCAAACCCGTTTCTTTAGAGGTATTCCAATGTACGGGGGCTATTTTTCTGTAATATTTCCCACCCTTTCCCCACCCGGGTTTGGGAAAAACGTTGGTCTACTATGCTCGGGAACAAACTTCAGTCCCATTAAAAACCCAGTATAGGGTTTTGGCCGTCTTCTTATCCCAGTGTCGGGTTGGGAGGGCTACTCTCTCCCGTCTTTTGCATTGGCCCCTAAATCGTTTTTACTCAAGGATATCTCATGGAGAGGGTTTTTGCTCCCCTCTGTGAGAATTGCCAAACTCCATTTCATTTAACCCCATTCTGGGTTGGAAATGCCCACTTTTTTCAAAAAGAGCAGCAAATTTAAATCTGCGTCGTCTTCGCCCCCCTGCTCTTTTCTTTTCCTTCCCTTTTTCGCTGATGGAAACCCCCCTTTCATCCGGGCTCTCTCCCTTTACTTTTTTTCAACGACGACTTACTCCCAAATTTTGATACTTCAGGGGCCCCTTTTTTTCTTGTAAACTCTTTCTACCCTCTACCCCCCAAATATTTCCCCGCCCCCCCTGTTTTTTGTAAAACCCGCTGACAACCCCCCTTCCCCTTTTGCCCTCCAATTCCCTTTCTTCCTTCCCCAAACCCCGCAGCGCTGTATAAACCCCCTTTTGGTTAAACGCTTCTTTTTGATTATAATAAAAATAAACAGGGAACCAGAGCAAACAGATCCAATTCCCCAATCAAGAGCCCCTACCAGCATCAAGGAACCCCCCCTTGGGGTGTTAATTTTTGAAGAGAAAAAGCTGGACATGGGGAAAGTCATAGGAAAAATTTTTTTGCCCAGTATGTATATGGGTTATGTTTTCAACTGTGGAAGAAAGTGCTTTAGGGTTTAGGGTTATCCCGATTAGATGATTTTTTAAATTTTTGGTGGGGTTAACTTATATTAAAATTTTATTTTACTTTTTTCCCCCATTGTTTTTTACCAAAAACAATTTTGGGGCACAAAGTTTTTTCATAAACTTTTTTAGTAAAAAAAAAAAAATATTTTTTTTTTTTATATTACTGGGGCTTTTTTGGGAAAGTTTAGCTAGGGGAAAAACAAACATGAAATTTTAAAAACCCCAGTCTCTCCTCAAGATGAAAAGGGTTAAAGGGCACATGGCAACATCTGGATATTTTTTTTTGGACGTTTCGCCATTTTAGGGGCTTTATCAATACGATTCTAGGAAAATAATTGGAAGGGGCAGTTTTTAAAAAAAACTATATACAAAAGGGAAAGTAAAGCCCCCTGGGGGGGGCGAAACGTTTACAATAAAGAAACCAGATGTTGCACAGTGTCCCTTTAAATTTCATATTTCGGAAATTTTTTTACCTTTCTTGCACAACCTCTCCTCAAGGGTGGGGGGAAACCCTCTCTGGTGAGAGTAAACTTTTAAAATTTTTAGTATTTAAAAGGGGTTTGAACAGAAAATTATTGTCCCGATCCATATTTGTCTATAATTTTGGGGGCTCATGGAAAAATGGAAAAAATTTAAATTTTAAAATTTACTGCTTTTCCAATTTCCCCAAAAAAAGCTAAGGGGTCACCTTTAGGAGGTAAGTAAAACCCCAAAAAAATTTTTAAACACCCCTATCTTTTACTTTCGTTGGGCAAGTTATGTATTTTTTAAAAAATTTTGAAAGAAATAATACCTTGATAATACGAACTTTGGGCTGAGGATAACGGGCACGTTTTGCAAATTTCTTAAGGGGGGGGGGGGCATTGTTATTAGGGAAAAACTTCGAAATGGGGGGTTTGTTCACTCTTTGGAGGACTGAAAAAAGTTTGTAAAAAAAACGTGGGGGAAATGCTTTTTGTTTCGTGGGCCTTGGCCCCTCAATTGTGGGGGTTATCACAAAAGTGTACTTTTGGGTTTTTCCAAACCCCAGGTGTAGTTGACAAACATCCCCCCCCTAAGTGTTTAAGCGTTTTATTTCCCCTTTAATAATATTTTTAAAAAGCATACATTAAAAAATTGGAACCCCAAAGTAGCATGTTGTCGCCATAAAAGTCTATCTGTTATTTGTGTGCTGTAAAATAAGTGATAAAATTAAAGTATAATTTTAAAGGGTTGTATGGGAGGCGGGGGTGGGTTTAAGAAATGCATTTGGGGGACCCGGCTGACTCACCTCCCCGGTGACTTAAAAGACGACACACGAACTTTCCCCATTTTTCTTCTTTTGTAACAACATGGGGAACTTAAAAAAGTATAAAAAAGGACACCACATAGCACCCCCCCCAATAGCCGCAATTATCATTTCTATAACCATTTTGGGGGCGATAACTTTTTGAAAAAGGACGGGGTGGGGGGGCCCCCCTTTGTTTACACCCCGGACGGCCGCGCCCACAACAGCTGACCCACTTTTCTTACCCCATATCCCCCCCACCCTAGATCAATAACCCCCCCCTCGTGTCCCCCCGCCATTCCCCCATTATACGGGGGTCAAAGGGGTGAAAGGGGGAGTTAAAAGCGTTCCCCCCACTGTGAAGTTGTGGGGTTTAAAAAAGAGATCGTCTGCAAAGGGGGGATGCGATCTCGCGTTTTCTCTTTGACGTCACCAAAAACTCTCGCTTTATTGGTTAAGAGGGGTTTCGTCACGCATCCTCATCGCTAACGGTGGGAGGGGGTGAAAGTCACTCAGGGCTCGTAGCTGATTGGCGGGAAAAGGGAAACAGCACCTACAGTTGAAAAAATCTGCTGCAAAAGGGTTAGCTATTATTTTTTTTCTTATTTTTTGCCCGTTTTTTTTCTATTTTCACCCCCCAGAAAACGTTGGGGAATTCTCGCTCAAGTTTTAAAGTTTTTTGGGAACATAAACGTTTAGTATTTTGGAAAAATACCGGGAAAATGCACTTTAATTAAAAAATTTTTCGAGGTAGTGCTGACTCGCCAGGAAAAAAAAAATATGCCCCGCCCCGTGTCTATTAAATTATTTAAATTTTTTTATCATGGGTATACAAAACAAATGAGGTTTGACAAAGGGAAAAAAACCCAAAAATAAAAATAGATTTTTTCTGTTTTCGTGTTCCATGTGTTTTCGTATTTTATCCCCTATATTGGGGGTAAATCCCAGTACTTGGGCTGGTGTTTTCCCCCGGTTAATTTACATATAAATTAATAAAAAACAATTTAAAAAAACCAAAAACTTGTGTAATTTTAATCTAAATAAATGCTTGCTTAAAAAATACCCAAAAAAAAGTAAATTTTTTTTTTTTTTTTGGCAAACAGCACAAAACATGAAGGAAAAATAAAGTAGGCCTACTGGCCCATTTCTAAAGGGTAGGCCAGGGGTATCACTGAGGCAAGAACCCCCAAAAATTCCCTTTCCTCAAATGATTCTTCCTGAGAAATTTTTCACTCATCTACAACTGCTACCAAACAGTACCCTTTCCCCCTATTCATTTAAATCAAAAAGTTTTCCAACTTTAATTCACTGCTGCGAGTCCTGTTCCCCTCAAGGAAGGTTCCTTGATGTTGGTGAGGGGCTCTTGATTTAGGGAATTGGATCTGTGCTCCAGTTCCCCGAATTAAGCCTGAATGCCTTCCACATCCCCCCCCAGGCGCTGTATAATCCTCCGGGTTTAGCGCTTCCCCCTTGATTATAATAATAATAATGCGAGTCCTGTTTTGGTTAGATATTTTCAGCATGTTATATCATTATTTATGTTTATCTTTTTTACACTTTAATCATGTCTCCCATAATTCTATGCTTTTCTGAAGAGTGCAAATTCAGTGCCTTTGTAGGAAAAATATCCCATTCTGTAATATGGAGACCGGAAATAAGCAGCTTTTTCTCAGGACTAAAATCATTTAGACCTTGATATGATGCCAAATATATTAGTTTTATTGCAAACAATACATCATTATCTTGGCTTTAATTAAATTTCTGCTAACAGAATTAAATCTTTTGCTTTCATATTGTTTAGATTGTTTAGCTTGTAAATATCTACATTGTTTATCTTATAACTGCCATAGTTATTTTCTTTTCCTAGCATAGAACTTTACACTTGGCTGCATTGAAGCACATACTCTGCACCTGTTACTTCTCCAGCCACATCAACCTATCCAGGTCATCCTTAGCTAGGCAGCACCCTCAAAAATTATTTAATGGTTTATTTTAATGTCATTTGCAAACTTGTCTATTTATTCCCTCATATATGTAATTTATGGAGATTGTGAGCAAGGGTCTCAATACCAGTACCAGTGGCACACCTCTTGTAATGGGGTCTCTATTCTGACTTCTCATTGATGCAAATTCTGTTGCCTATTGGTCAGCTGTGCCTTGACCCAGGAAGTAATTTCTCCTCTACCATGTGCCACTAGTTAATTTCAGTCTCCTGTAAGGAACTGTGTTAAAAGCCTAACAAGTCCACCTGCACAATATTGTATATGTCCTCAAATACCTTAGCAAAAAAAAAGCTAAGTAAATTTGTGGGTAAGAATGACTAATTGTAAAACAATGCTGAGATTCATTGATTCAATCATATCTTTCAAGGTGATTCTGAATTTCATCATTGGTTAATGATTTCTCAAATTTCTACAATTGAGGTTATACTTCAGATTTATAAACCCAAAACTCCTGCTTTGTAAATGAGTAGCACTTTTTGCCATTTTTCCACTTATAAAATTTACGATACCCATTGAAGAGACTAGCTGATGGTTTGCTAAGTTCCTCCTCACATTTTCTTTAGAACCTTGAAAACAGCTCGCCAGAACCTGGTGATTTGTTTATCTTCAATCTATCTAGTTATCAGAAAATGCCACCTCATCATTTGCTTTCCCCACTATGTGTACTGTCCCTCTGCTTGCAATGCTTTCTCTATATACAGCCTTTCCTCACTTAACGATGTACTTGTTTATGATGACTCAGATTAGGATGGGCTCTCTGACCGTTGCATACCTAAATAATGAATATTAGAGCTGTTTTCCTCTTATTTTGTTAAAAATTTGTATTTGGAGGGGAAGGCGGGGGTAAGAGGTCGGCCTAGGAAAGGTTGGAGGGAGGGGGGTTAGAGGAGGTTTTTTTGTGCGAGGGGCTTGGACTTCCAGCAAGCACATGTGGGGCATGTTAGATAGGAGTGAAAGGAGACAAATGGTTTTTAGGAGTTGATGTGCGGGTTGGGGAGTTTTGAGAAGGTATATATTTATGAAGGGATTCGGGGAAACGGGCAGGCCGGACCTGAGTCCTGGAGATGGGAAGTGCAGTGTTCTGCACTCTGTTGGAGGGGTGTTAATGTTTGCAGTTTTATGAGTGTAGTGTAAGAGCACCTTTGGCAAGACAATGATGGAGTGAATGATGGTGAAAGTTTTTCTTTTTTGGGCCACCCTAGCTTAGGGGAAAAAATGGCCGATGTGTTAATAATAAAAAAAATACTGTATAAGCATTTAAAAATATACTAAAAATGTTACAAATGGTGCAAAGGTGACTTTAAAATAATATCAAAGATGGTTGACACAAACCCACTACCATCATAGTATGTCCTTGCTTAGCAATGAATTCGTTTACTGACATGGTCTTAGGAAGGGAACTCCGTTGTTAGGTGAGGAGAGGCTGAACTTAAAAAACTTGGTCCCCAAGTAAAAATTTTTCTGAAAGGTTTGGAATTTGGTCAGTTTTTTAATGGGCCTCAACTTATTTATTTGTTAGAGTATACCCAAAGTATTATCATATTTTATTAAAGATGTTATGCTGAAATTTTGGATGATGAAACCCCTAGTGATTCAGAATGCAATTTCAAGTTCAAAGAAAAAAATTTTTTAATACACTGCATGTACTTTATTTCACTGATTAATATGGTGTTGTTTTTTCAGGTCGGTTTTTTAGCGAGTATTGAAGATCAGGGGTCCTTCTCCATTACTATTATAGAAGGTTGTGGGGCTGAGACAACATTGTCCTCATATGCTCAACAAGCTTGCTCAACATCCTGGATGGGCTATACGAACTTCATGAAACTATTGGATCAGGCGGATTTGCAAAAGTGAAATTAGCAACACACATTTAACAGGAGAGAAAGTGGCTCTTAAAATATGGATAAACGAAAAACTTGGGGTACGTTATAGTTTACCATAAAATATTAATGCAAAGTAACTACTTTTTGTGTGTATATTACATGAATTTTCTCAGAAATCTTGTGGTAAAACTTAAGGGGTGCTTATTTTACCCTAGTGTATAGGGAAGAGCAAGTTAAAAACCTTGTTGCTAATAACCAAAGGGAGTTTGTTTATTGTTTATACTGTCATTTCATTGTATGCCAGAAGAGTTAAGGGTAGTTGTAGTAGTTTGTCTCACATTTAGCAGATGGCAACTCATGTTGAGTTTGATTTATAACTTTAGTCATCCCTCTCTGAACACATTATTAATTGTTTGATTTCCTGTTTCCTTATTTGATTTCTATATATTCTCCACTGTTCTTTCACTGCATGTTGTTATTTATTGGCTGTTCTCTCTAAACCCTTGTACTTGTGTATATGTATTCTTATATTTTTGAAAGTCTATCATCCATCATTCTCTTATCAAACTATCCTAAAGTCTCTCTCTCAGTTATCTTTGTTACCCAACACCTTGGGTTTTTTTGTATCAGTTCAGGTCTATAGCGAATTGTTTAGGGTGTTCCAAGGTATTGATATCAGTGGGTATTGACTAAATTTTTATGGTATGAGTATCAGTGGGTATCAGCTAATTTTGATGGTATCAGTATTGGCCAAAAATTTGGTATTGTCGCATCCCTAGAATTGCAGTTGATTAGAAAGCCTAAAATATGTAGATCATTTATTTTAATTTAACAGGTACCAATAAGTCAGGAAAGTTAGACATGTAGAAGAGCTATTGCCATTTTGGATTTAGAAAAGGGACTTCATTTGGGTAAGTTAGTAAATGCTACAGCAAGTGCTGGAATGAATGGAATGTGTGATAAATTGTAGGTACTAGTAGCGAATAATATGTTTGAGGAGAGTGTATAGGAAATGAGAGTACAGTATGTGGCACCTTTAGTTGATCTCGACATGCTGTTCTTTTAAAATGTTGAAGTTTAAAATTTGGAATTTGGAAATAATCCCGAAAGAGGGGAAATCTTACAGTAAGGAACTAAAAGTATGGGCCATAATATTTATTTTAAATATAAATTCTTTAATTACCTTAGCACCATGTTACTCTACTTTGATGACAAAAAAGACCCTATGGTAAAATGGAAATGGAAAAGTTTATTGACACTTGGTTTGGGTCCAAGCTTTTTAAGTCTACAGGAGTATATGGTAAGCATAGGTATATATTGTCAGCGAGCATGGCAAGGATTTGAGGTGTGAAGCTAACTTGTGTCAGGTTAGGAGAGCATGCTGAGGAGCATTTGTGCTGGAAATCCTCCCAGCTGGAACTTCCCTGGTTCTAGGTGAGCCTTGGATAGAAGTGCAATATGTGTTCTGAGAGGAGGGGAGTTAGTTAGAATTGAAAGCATATACATGCTTTCATACATACTTTTATTTTTTCCAAATGCATGTTTATAATTTTTTCTTCTTATTCTTTTTAGTAATCTTTAGAGGAAAAGGGGTTACTAGCCCATTGTTCCCGGCATTTTAGTTGACTTTTTCAACACGCTGGCTTACGGAGGAAAGATTCTTATTCCCCTTCCCCCTGGATTTAAAAGGAAAGTAATAAGACCAAAAACTATTAAGATAAAATCAAAGAAAAACTCAGTGAGTGTGTATAAATAAACGTTTTACATGTATGTGTAGTGTGACCCAGTGTAAGTAGAAGTAGCAAGACATTTCCTGTAATCTTGCATATTTATGAGACAGACAAAAGACACCCGCAATCCTACCATCATGTATAACAATTACAGGCTTTCGTTTTACAAACATTGGCAGGACAGTGAGTACCTCCCTGGGTGGTTGCTGTCTACCAACCTAATACCTCTGTGGTGTAAAAATTATGCAGAGTGTGGAAATTAGGAAAAGGTGTGGAGTTAATAAAAGTATTTAGTCAGAGGGCAGAAGGAGGGGTGTTGAGGTGGTTTGGTCATTTAGAGAGAATGGATCAAAGTAGAATGACATGGGAAAAACATATAAATCTATAGGGGAAGGAAGGCGAGGTAGGGGGCGTCCTCGAAATGGTTGGGAGAGAGGGGGTAAAGGAAGTTTTGTGGGCAAGGGGCTTGGACTTCCAGCAAGCGTGCATGAGCGTGTTAGTAGTGAATGGAGACGAATGGTATTTGGGACCTGACGATTGTTGGAGTGTGAGCAGGGTAATATTTGTGAAGGGATTCAGGGAAACCGGTTATTTTTTATATAGCCGGATTTGAGTCCTGGAAATGGGAAGTACAATGCCTGCACTTTAAAGGAGGGGTTTTTGGGTATGGCAGTTTGAGGGATATGTTTGTGTATCTTTTTAGTATATGCTTCTAAACTGTTGTATTCTGAGACCCCTGCAAAAAAAGTGATAATGTGGTGAGTGTGGTGAAGTGTTTTAATGATGATGAAAGCATTTTCTTTTTGGGGATTTTCTTTCTTTTTTTTTTTTTTGGATCACCCTTTCCTCGGTGGGAGACGGCCCACGTGTTAAAAAAAAAAAAAGCATGCGTATAAATCTGTGGGGAAGGAAGGCGGGGTAGGGGTCGTCCTCGAAAAGGTTGAGGGAGGGGGTAAGGTGGTTTTGTGGGCAGGGGCTTGGACTTCCCGCAAGCGTGCATGAGAGTGTTAGATAGGAGTGAATGGAGACAAATGGTATTTGGGACCCCGACGACTGTTGGAGTGTGAGCAGGGTAATATTTAGTGAAGGGATTGAGGGAAAAACCCGGGTTTTTTTTATATAGCCGGATTTGAGTCTGGAAATGGGAAGTACAATGCCTGCACTTTAAAGGAGGGGTTCGGGATATTAGCAGTTTGGAGGGATATGTTGTGTATCTTTATACGTATATGCTTATAAACTGTTGTGTTCTGAGCATCTCTGCAAAAACAGTGAGTATGTGTGAGTGAGGTGAAAGTGTTGAATGATGATGAAAGTATTTTCTTTTTGGGGATTTTCTTTCTTTTTGGGTCACCTGCCTCGGTGGGAGAGGGGCCGACTTTGTTAAAAAAAAAAAAAAGCATACTTTATATTTTTGTGTTCATGTGGTGGGTTCTTGTTATTTCCATGGCACCCATTTTCTTTTGGCATGAAGCATTATCCCTAAATTGGAAAAGCAACCTTAAAATTTAGTAAAAATTGTTCTTCTAGGATTTCCCATGTTCAGATCTGTTCTCTTATGAATTTCAGTGTTACTGGTAGTAGCATTAGAACAGTATTTAAAGAAATATGGCCATTAAGTGTTTGATTCCTGTATCTAACAACAGTAAGTTCTCAAAATTGTAAGAATACAGAATTTAATGGCAAAGTGTTTTAGATACATCATTTACAATACTAGAGATAGTAGGTTGGTAGACAGCAACTGCCCAGGGAGGTACTACTGTCATGCCAAGTGAGTGTGAAATGGAAACCTGTAATTGTTTTACATGATTGTAGGATCGCTGGTGTCTTTTCAGTCTCATAAACGTGCAAGGTTTCAGGTATATCTTGCTACTTCTACTTACATTTAAGTCATGCCACACATGCATGTACAAGCTTATATATATATACACACACGCACACCTCGGGGTTTTTCCCCTTCTTTTTCTTACTAGTTCGTGTTTATTTCCTCCATGTGCTATGCATGTCGAAAGAGGCAACTAAAATGCCAGGAGCAAGAGGCTAGTAAAATTGCGTAAAAGAGAAACTTCTGTTTTCTCTGTTGAGGTCACCTTCCTCGGTGGGATATAGCCAGTTAGTTGAAATTTTTTGTTTACAATACTATTGTAATTACATAGTTAATACTGTAGTAACATTCCATATTTAACTGCAACCAGGATAATTTTTTATTTAGCTCTAGACTGCAGTTATTCATTAATTATTTTTATCTTTTTTTGCATGGTATCTGTTATACTGTACTGAAAAAATGTAAAATGCATAGAGAATATCTGAAAAAATTGTCTTCCACAGGAAGATTTACACGCATTTATTTGGAAATTGAAGCAATGAAGCAGCTGGCTCATCAGCATGTATGTAAACTCTACCAAGTGCTTGAGACAGACACAAAAATATTCATGGTTCTTGAATACTGTCCTGGTGGAGAGCTATTTGATTATATAGGTAAATGTTTTAATGCATAGTATTTTGTTGTCAACACTGTTGAAATTTGTATTTCCTTTATTTTTTATGAATTTAGTTTTTGGTGTTATTTTGATTTTTTTTTTCTCTGCACTCATTAATTATTTTTTAACACACAGTTGAAAGAGATAGGCTAGAGGAGGATGAAGCAAGAATATTTTTCCGCCAAATCACATCTGCTGTAGCATATGTCCACAACATGGGATATGCTCATCGAGATCTGAAACCAGTAAGCTCCTTTTCTGTGTGTTCCTATTAGTTTTTTCTAGCTAAAATTTTTACAGTATATTGACAGTTTTCTACACATGTCGTGGCAGAGCATGGCTCAATTCAATCTGCATTTCTATACATGTATACTGTCACTTGTAAAGCACTAGACCTTTTACCGCCAGGGTTTGATCCCCTGTCTATTCTTCCATTTACTCATTAACAATATTTTTTTATAAACGCTAGACAAGTCTGGCCTGGGGCTGGGTTGCAAGAGTAGGAAAGTTCTCGAAACCCATCAAAAGGGTATCAAGCATATCAGATAGTGTTCAGATATGACTACCTGAAATCAGGTGCCAAATAGATTAACTCTTTGAAATCTGCATATTTTACTTTTTAAACTGTGCATGATGATGAATTAGCCACCCTTTTGATGGTTTGTATTGCAATAGTGTACAGCATGTACAGTTATGGAAAAAGTAAAAAATGTATAGAACTTTTTTTTTTTTTTTTTTTTTTTTATACAAGCTTTAAGTAGCTCTTGCCACACACTTCAAATACTATTTTCTTGTTTCAACATGCATCTTACCATAACACAGGAGGATTGAGACATTATTCTGCTTATTTTACACCAATGTGTTTTATTTACAGACTTAAAAAATCATAATTGCCACTATAGTACTGTACTTGGATCATTGTCACTGTTATCATGAATACTAGTACAGTTTACAGTAATACAAGTTGTCCTCTCAGGCATGTGAGTGTGTCTTTGATCAGTTGCTGTTGGAGTGTTAGCATGGTAATCTTTATAAAGAGATTCAGAGTAATCAGTTAGCCAGGCTTGTCTTGGTGGTGGGGAAATACAGCCCTTGCACTTTGAAGGAGGGCTAGAGGATGTTATATTTCAAAGGATGATTTGATTTAAAGAGGGTCTATCTTGGTGGGAGATAGTCAATGCTTAAAAAAAAAAATAATGTAGAAAAAAAAAATGTACTACCTTGTCTTGTGGTGAAAATATTTCTCGTAATGACCAAAAAAGTAAAATGAGGGGAAAATAAAAATAAAATCAGAAGAAAGATGTCATTGAAATTATGGAATAAGTGTTGTGAAAATGAGTATAAGGGAAAAGAACTATCACTTGTAGAAATTATCCTAAATTTTCATACCTTATGCTAGTACAGTACAAATATAAATACCATGCATTCATGTCAAAGTATTTCTTACAGGAGAATTTGTTACTGGATGATGATCAGCAGTTAAAGTTGATTGACTTTGGACTTTGTGCCAACCCAACTGGTGGTCTGGATCAGCATTTAGCAACTTGTTGCGGCTCTCCTGCATATGCTGCCCCTGAACTTGTATCTGGACGATTCTACTTAGGCATGTATAAAACATGTTTCTCCAAATAAAATTCTACTTTGGCAGCATTCTAGTTTGTCTGAAATGCTTTGCCTAACTACGAATTTTTCCATGTAAGAAACCACTAGAGTAAACCAGTCTCTAGCACAAAAGTATCTTGGAAAATGGACATTTATTTTTCATTACATTACTGTACTTCCTGAAGAGGAAAAGGCTGGATAATTTTAGAGGTATATTATATGGATGGAAAGTTATTTACATAATGTACAGAACAATGAACTATTTTTTTACTGCCATTTCTCACCAAGGCCAGGTTAATACATGGAAGAAAAAATTTACTTGTTATTTGCACTTGTGCAGATAAGCGGAAAGAAACAAGAACTAATTAGAAGATGGAAGAAAACCCAAAGGGGTGCGTTATACATATATATGCTTGTACATGTATGTGTAGTGTGACCTAAGTGTAAGTAGAAGTAGCAAGATGCATCTGAAATCTTGCATATTTGAGACAAAAGACACCAGCAATCCTAAACCCTCATGTAAAACAATTACAGGCTTCTGTTTTTACACTCACTTGGCAGGATGGTAGTACTTCCCTGGCGGTTGCTGTCTACCAACCTACTATAACATAGGGTTACCTTTTAAAAATAATTAAATTCTGAAAGAATGAACTTCATAACGTTATTATAAGATTTCATTTATTATTTAATAAAATTCTCTAGTGTTTGATTTTTAATTATTCTTCAGATGTACTACACAATTTAATTGTGGAATTAACATTGTCACAACTTCCTAGTTTTAGTTATGCACTAAGGTCAGGTTTTATGGGTTTTGAGGAATTTTAGATTTTATTATTTTTACATAAGTTGGGGTGGGGATGATGATGGAGGAGGGTAATCTGACTGATGTCAGCACACTTCTGGAGAGATTACAGTTAGGTGAATGTAGATAAATTAGACACACATGCAACACTTGGGTATCTTTAACCCTTTGGGGGTTTCGGACGTACTAGTACGTCTTACGACCCAGGGTTTTTGACGTACTAGTACGCCTAAATTCTAGCGCCCTCAATTTAGTGAGAGAAAGCTGGTAGGCCTACATATGTAAGAATGGGTCTATGTGGTCAGTGTGCGCAGTATAAAAAAATCCTGCAGCACACAGTGCATAACGAAAAAAAAACTTAGACCGTGTTTTTGGATTAAAACAGCGACTTCGCACTGTATTTTCGTATGGTATTTATTGTTGTATTCTAGTTTTCTTGGTCTCACTTTATAGAATGGAAGACATATTACAGAAATTGAGATGATTTTGACTGGTTTTACAATCAAAAGTACCTTGAAATTGAGCTCAAAGTAGCAGAAATGTTCGATTTTTACCAAAGTTCAAAAGTAAACAAATCATGCCAAGCGTCCAGTAACACGTCAACTGGTGAGTCTAATATTCTTTCACAAGTGCGCTGATATTATTTATACTATTTCTACACTAATGCAGTAGTTTGCATAACAGTAAATCTTATTTTTTTTGTAAGAATAAAAATTCAAAGTGGAAAGCCAAAGAAATATAAGAGGGGCCTGGGATGTGACTAACGAACAGAGAACTTGTTATTTTAGTGCCCGGGAAAGTCTTTCTTGTTTATTCTGGACCCTATTCGGAAATTGGCATCTTTTGAAATTTGTATGAAATTGGCAAAATTGCTAAATTCTGACCACTTTATTGGATAGTTGAATCGGTAAATGGGTGGTTTCTTGTTCTCATTCGATAGAAAAAATGGAGTTTTAGCGAAATAGTTATGATTTTTGTCGACTAGTACACTGGAATTGGCTAAATTTAGGGTTCAAAGTGGGCAAAATCGTGTGGTAAACATCGTCGAGACGCTAATCGCGGGGAGCAAATTTCCCGTAAGTTTTCATAAATTTTCATCTTTTGGTGTCATTAGTGGGGAAAAAAAAGATTCTCTTTTTTTATAAGAAATTTTTTTTTTTTTTTTTTTTTTAATTTGCCGACCCTGAGAAAAAGTTCTGAGAGGACCTGTCGGCCCCCAAAGGGTTAATGGGAACATTTCCACACAGTGGCTTTGTCAGTCCTCAAAGGGGAAAAAATGGTGAAGAAAGGAGTAGTTGAGGTAATCGTCCCCAGTTTTTGATTTCGAGTAGTTAGCCCATCGATCTTGAAAAGAAAAAAGTAGAGGTGCGCAGTATTACTTTTCCTGGGTCTGACCAGAAAACATTTGGATCTTATACAGGGAATTTTTCATTCCCTAACTTGGGCATGACCTCTTAACATTGGAAAATGCGAAAACCCCCTATGACGCTGCACCTCCCTGCCTCGGTATATAATTTTTATTTCTCTGCAATTGCTGTTTTCCAAGATTGATGGACTGCCCACAGACTAAGGGTGGGGTGTTTCCCCTCAAATCCTTCTGTTTTTCCCTTCTCCATTGCCACTGTGGAAAAGTTTCCTCATTAAAGATAAAAAAGGGTGTAGTGTTGTTTATAAACTTGTGTTTTGAACATTCATTGGGAATGTAGGTAAATGTGTTTTCTTTGGGTCATGTGCCTTGGTGTGAGGGCCCTTTGTTTTAAAAAAAGTACATTTTGCTTTTAATTTAAAATCTTGTGCATTTGAAATATTCTTTGTAAATACCTGTGTGATTATAAATCTTTGTTATTTTTTTTTTCTGAAGCAGACATTGGATAGGGGGAGTGTTGTTAATGCATTCTGTGTGGCTTTCTTCCATTTGATGATAAAAATTTTGGGGAAAACCCTCTACAGAAAAATTCGGTTTGTCTTGAAAAGTTTTGTTTGAAAAGATAAATTATTTTTTTTCCCCATATTATAGTTCTTGCATGTTTTACAAAACATTGAATTAAATCAGAGGGAAATTTGTATTTTTGGCTTTTTGTAAAGAAATGTTACCCCGAGTGTGGCATTTAAAACTGAAAATCAAAATTTGGTTATTTTGTATTCACATCACCAAATAAAAAATGGCAGTTTTTAGGGAAGTTTGTGAAAATTGGTCACTGCATTGATAACCTCAGAAAAAAGCCCTAAATTTGTTGTTGATTTTGTGATAAAATCAAAAATGGAAAAAAATGTAGTGAAGACTGATAAAAAGGGAAAACCAAGGAGACGCTTAATTAAAATTTAGTGTTTCAAGAATTGAAGATGCTTAAAAAAACTTTGAACCCTCAATTAATTAAAAAATTCACTGTCAGACCCTGATTGAAAATTGCCACAGTGTCCAAGAATTTAAAAAAAAAAATTATTTTTTTTTGTTATAAATGGTAGGAATTTTTTCTGAAGCTAAAAAACAAAGTACGAAAAAAGATAAAATTACACTTTGTGAATTTTGGGGCTAGTGTATTTTCCCCATCAGCAATTTTGCTCATTCGGTCCATTTTAGGCCAATTACATTGTTCCAGTCGACCCGGTTTAGTATTTTGCTAGTATGCCTTCCTTTTTTAGTTGGACAAGAAGTCACTATCAAATATTTAAAAACCCAAAAAGTGATCACAAAATTTGTTTTTTTTGGCCAAATTTTACCAAAATTTTAAAAAATTTCCGTTTCTAAGAGGGTTTTGAATAAAATTGCAGGTTCTTGGTACTAAAATAATTTTTCTTGGTATTAGTTAAATTTCCAGGCTTTCACATGAATTCAATTTTTATTTTTTATTTACAAAAATTTTTTTTTCACAAAAAAATTTTGATTTTGTTAAGCGTATTGCAAAAATTGTATAAATAATGTCAGCGCATTTTATGAAAAATTGTAGACCCGCCATTTGACATGTATTGGATGTATGATATGATTTGTGTACTCTTGCTTCGGTTTAAAAATTGAACATTTCGTTGCTTCAAGCTTAAGTCAAGTATTTTCAGTCCTAAACCAATCAGTCATTGCATTTTCTGTAATTATTTTTCCCTTTTACCAAATGAGACCAAAAAAACGAAATACAACCCTAAAAAACCATATGCAATTCACCACAAAGTCACTTTTTTTAAACCAGTACTACTTTTTTTCCTTTTATATTTCAAAAATGTTAACTTCTTTTGCATCCAGTCTTCTGATATGTTTAATAATAGGCAGCTGTATAGCCCTTGTGGTTTAGTGCTTCTTTTTGATTATAATAATTAATAATAGGCAGGTGCTTATGAAAATCCCAAATGGTTAAGTCCCAGTAGCTGTAAACCTGCTTGCATCAAGGGCTTCAAGTGGATCCCAAAAGAAGAATCAGTGTGATGCAACTCCTGACACATCCTTGGATTGTTGCAGGTCAGCCACATCCTGTGGACGTATCATCTAAATACAAGGTATCTATGGTTTCTTTGTCCTTTACACTTAGTTGGATCCAAACAGCGTGTTACTGAGGGTTTAGTCAAAAAAATGAAAACGTTTGCAAAAAGTGCTTTTATTAGGCCCAAAGTTTCAATCTGTTTTTTTGGTACAGTGGAACCCAGTTTTGTCTTTAATCTGTTCCAGAAGGTCAGCCGAAATCGAATTTGTAGGAAAACTGAAGAAATTGTTTCCATGGGAAAATAATTTGTAAATCCAATTAATCATTCAGACCCCCAAAAAAATATTAACCAAAAAATACATTTATAGAGAATAACTATTTTTTCACATACAGAAAACGAGAAAATAAATATAAAGTATATTAAAAGGGATAAATAACATTTAAATCACTTTTACCTTTATTGAAGACTGTTGTTGGCGTATGGGAAAACGGTTGAGGAGGGGAGAGGGAGGAGAGGTTATCTCTACCACCATCACTACCCCCCTCTACCACCATCCCCTAACCACCTCTACCCCCCACCCATTCCACCTTCTACCACTCTCCACCCTCCAACACCTCACCCACCCTCACCACCATCACTACCACCCTTACCACCCTCACTACCCCTCTACCAAACCCTCACTACCACCATCACTACCGCCCTTACCACCATCCTACCCCTCTCCACCATCACTACCCCCTCTACCACCATCACTACCACCTCTACCACCATCACTACTCCTCTAACCCACCCCTCACTACCCATACCCCACGCCCCTCTACCACCATCACTACCCCTTACCACCATCACTACCACCCTCTACCACCATCACTACCACCTTCACCAAC